ATATATATATATATATATGTTTGCTTGATTTTTCAGTTTGCTGCCTAGCACCTACAGAGTACTGATTAATTCAAAAAGCTCATTCAATATGAAGGTAACAAATCTAGATGAACGCATCCATGTATTGGATAGTGAGTCCAATGTTATGACTGTTATCAAAGATATCGCAATGAGTGGTTTACAAGAAGAAGCTTTTTACGTATTGGATATAGGAGATATTGTACAAAAGCATCAAATCTGGAAAGAAAAATTGCCACGAGTTGAGCCCTATTATGGTAAGCCATTTATATATTTGGGATTTATATTATTACATAAGTATATGACAATTATTCTTTATATATAAATTTTTAAATTCCAGCTGTAAAGTGTAATGATAATTTGATGGTAATCGAGGTATTAGCGGCCCTTGGTGTTGGTTTTGATTGCGCATCTAAGGTAAATATGATTAAGCTTTAAATGTATCTTTTTTTAAGAGAGAAATAAATATATCTTTTTAACATGCAGGGTTTCTTTAATTTATATATATATATATATGTATATATATTTATTTTTTTATATAATGATATATAAATTATATTCTTTATAACATGTAATTTATATAGGAAACTTTATAGAGAAATTTATATTTGTGTGTGTGTTGTATAAATTTAAAGCTATAGTATATACAATAATTATTATTTTTGTATAATTTGCGTATGAAATTAATTAAGAAACGAATGAATAATTCATATTTCCAATTTTCTCTTGCAATGATATATTTAGTTACTTTCTTTTTGTATATGTGCGCTTCCATGTGCAAATTATACAAATTATAGCTACAAGTTGAAAACATGAATTTTAATAATGTGATAAAAATAGCGTCAACTATTTTCATTTTTTATTATATATCTTCCATTAACATCTTTCTAATAATTTTTGTTTTAGATTGAACTTCAAATCTTCAGCAAACGATACAGCACTGGATGGAATTATAAGGGTGGTTGGAGCATGGAACAAGGGCAACAAGGGTCGAAGAGTGATGCGCCGCTTGACCGTGGCCTATTCGTAAAGCCGACGAAATTAATCGTGCACTAAAAGCTGGCAACCGGGAATTAACGTGTTAGTGTGCTCCAAATTCCGGAAATATATCGTTCACACCTGTGAAACGAGCGAGGTAAAGCCAGGACGTTAAAGTCAGTTTTATTAGCCTAATACTCTCTTTCTCGAACTTAACTTGCCGAGACAATAAAATTAGCTTCTCGTTTGTAAAAATATGTAACATGTGACAGAAATCGCTTTTCAATTAAAAATATATATTTAATTTTCGCCGAAATTTTACTTGAAGAAATAATTGTTTTAGATATAATAATATAATAGTACAAAATTGTGTGAAGAAATGCTACAGGATTTTTTTTTTTTTTTTTTTTTGTAGAAAGGAAAAGAAATTTGTGAAAAAATTGATAATAATGATGATAATAATAATATCTTCTAAGTATAAAAGAGCGCATTATTATATATCAATAAAAAGAGAATATCACGAAAAAGTATTTCAATTTTGATTCAACGGTTTATCTCCGTCGGAAGAGTGGATAAGCTCTACAGTCAATATACACTCGCGTATCTCGCCATTATCTCGCAACAATGTGCATCATTTGTGATCCCCATAATCGGAATGAAACGCATCGCGTCGCGTCACCGAGTCGAGGAGCGACATGAAAAAAGAGCAAAATGTATTTCAATGTCCGATGTATGCAAGTGGGTAGAAGTAACCGCACGATAACACGGCGTTCCTCTGTGAGAGAGGCCTGTAATTAAGATCTCAACTGGTCTCAACTGGCCCGCCTCCCGATGAGCGTCGTCTCCTTATGTCTTATCGCGTGGCGCGCTCGACTACTGATACGTTTTCGTGGCTTATTTCAACGAGCGCTCGAGAGGAAACGTGTTCGTTTTTACAGGATGTGTACAGGATGTAGCACTAGCAGCGATAATTCTTTTTTTAAATAGCTCTAATCGTTTCTACACACAAAATGCTATCCTGCCGATATGCGGCTACGATCTGGCGCGTGTACGAACGTTTCATTAATTACCAACGCCAATCATCTTATTATACGAGCGGGATTTTGCGCACATGATCGGAATACCGCATTATCCTCGTCTCGATCGTACGTAACGCTGATAAACGCGCACCCGATGGAAACGAGCGCGGTTCGCGATCGACTGCGGTAATAGACAGTTTACATTCGGCAATCCCGCCGAACAGCGAAACGTTTACCGTGGCGCGATAGCTGGTCGTTACATCTATGGTACGTTTCCCGATAGCGGCACGGATCCTCTCATGAGTTACTGAATCCGCAATCAGCGAGAAAGCACGACGACACGAACGTTTGCGGCCGCGTCGCGATGGAACGTGTGGAGTACCGAGAGATCGCGCTTACAAAATCAGAAACAATGCAATTAAACATTCATTGCGAGTAATTGTAAGCAAAAGTATTATTTTTTCCAGGGTATTGAAATTAAAGTGCGATTCTCCAGCGACTGAGAAAAAATTTTCCCGAAATCTCTCAAAAATACGCGATGTGATGCAATAAAAGATCATTGATCCATAAGATACTTTCGCAAATTTTATTTTTCTGGGATAGTAGAAGAATATGAAATTAGAAATACAATTAAAAATTATTTTTTAGATGATATTTCATATATTTATTTGATATTTGAAATGTCATCATCCGGAAAAACGTTTTACTTCAAAATACTTGATATGATATGAAATCCCAAAAGTCACAATTTTAAAAAATTAGAGAAAAAACAAGATAAAAAACAAAAAATATATAAGTTTCGAAATGACAAACATAAATATAATAACAGTTCATTAATCCTCAAATTAAATGTCGAATTAATATGAAATCTCATAGTCTTTTCGTAGCTTTATTCTCATAGGAAATATTTTTTCAAAATTTTTTTTTTTTTCTTTAAATGTAGGAGGTTTGAGATATGTAAGAGCTTTAAAAAAATCCGTGTGCGTTTCTCGTAACATCGCTTTTATTTACACACCCTTCTCTAATCGAGGAATGAAACCCTCGATTACATTCAAGTGTACAAAAGATTACAGGTATATAAAAGATCGGATACGTCCGATACCGCGCACTTGGGGGTTCTTTTTCAAAAATCAGGCATTGATGCTTGAACCGCAATCGCGATAGCTATACAGTCAAAGCACGAGCTCGTCCGCGAGTTTTCGATGATTTATCCTCGGTCGGATGGGACGTAAATTCAAGAGGGGTCGTAAAAAGGAGAGCAGGTGAGCTAGCCCGATGCGCACGCATGCATGAAGTGCGGTGGATCCCGTCGCACTTGAGATGCATCCGAGCGCGATTAATGCACTCGAAGATGTTGAGGATAGGTTCGTTATTTTGATAGCGTTCCTCGCGCACATTCACAGGCGCCGTCCGCGTGCTATTGCCGTGTCAAATTGAGTTAAGGCACCGTGAGCTTCGTGAATGCCCAAGTTTCTCCGCTGTCGGATGGTCTCGGAATCATAATAATAAATTGCAGTTAAACAGTTAAAACCAGGGGGGTTGCGCACAGCAGAAGTTGGACTCCGCATAACAGAGCGTTAAAATCAACTACATTAAAATCGCATTGCAAATTAAGTACACGTTGCAGAAAATTACAAGAGTTTGCAGAAAATTTCATAATTATTGTATTGTGTTATGTAAGAAACCGTTTTAAGGAATCCTTGGCGGAATAATATTTTCTTCGACTCTTGATTATTTTATTGCGTGTTTGATTCATTTCCGTTAAACGCGTTTCGTATCGTCCTCATTTAGGAAAATCTATGATCATACTTCAAAATTTCATTATTTTATTCCTATAAAAAATCTCGTTTTATTATTATCATATATAATATATATAATATCAAGAAACTTTTATTTAAAAGTTTATGTAATATATCAGGATAAATGTTTTATCACAACTTCGACTCTTGATTATTTTATTGCGTGTTTGATTCATTTCCGTTAAACGCGTTTCGTATCGTCCTCATTTTTACACGGCTGGAAAATCTATGATTATAGGAAAATCTATGATCATACTTCAAAATTTCATTATTTTATTCCTATAAAAAATCTCGTTTTGCTTTATTCTCATAGGAAATATTTTTTCAAAATTTTTTTTTTTTTCTTTAAATGTAGGAGGTTTGAGATATGTAAGAGCTTTAAAAAAATCCGTGTGCGTTTCTCGTAACATCGCTTTTATTTACACACCCTTCTCTAATCGAGGAATGAAACCCTCGATTACATTCAAGTGTACAAAAGATTACAGGTATATAAAAGATCGGATACGTCCGATACCGCGCACTTGGGGGTTCTTTTTCAAAAATCAGGCATTGATGCTTGAACCGCAATCGCGATAGCTATACAGTCAAAGCACGAGCTCGTCCGCGAGTTTTCGATGATTTATCCTCGGTCGGATGGGACGTAAATTCAAGAGGGGTCGTAAAAAGGAGAGCAGGTGAGCTAGCCCGATGCGCACGCATGCATGAAGTGCGGTGGATCCCGTCGCACTTGAGATGCATCCGAGCGCGATTAATGCACTCGAAGATGTTGAGGATAGGTTCGTTATTTTGATAGCGTTCCTCGCGCACATTCACAGGCGCCGTCCGCGTGCTATTGCCGTGTCAAATTGAGTTAAGGCACCGTGAGCTTCGTGAATGCCCAAGTTTCTCCGCTGTCGGATGGTCTCGGAATCATAATAATAAATTGCAGTTAAACAGTTAAAACCAGGGGGGTTGCGCACAGCAGAAGTTGGACTCCGCATAACAGAGCGTTAAAATCAACTACATTAAAATCGCATTGCAAATTAAGTACACATTGCAGAAAATTACAAGAGTTTGCAGAAAATTTCATAATTATTGTATTGTGTTATGTAAGAAACCGTTTTAAGGAATCCTTGGCGGAATAATATTTTCTTCGACTCTTGATTATTTTATTGCGTGTTTGATTCATTTCCGTTAAACGCGTTTCGTATCGTCCTCATTTAGGAAAATCTATGATCATACTTCAAAATTTCATTATTTTATTCCTATAAAAAATCTCGTTTTATTATTATCATATATAATATATATAATATCAAGAAACTTTTATTTTAAAGTTTATGTAATATATCAGGATAAATGTTTTATCACAACTTTTACTTCGTCATCATCATATATCTATCATTAATCTTACGGGAATGAAATGAACGTACAAGAGGTTCATATCACACAGTTAAGCTGTTTATTAAGATATACTCAAGCATATGCAATTCTAATCTAATATTTGCCAAATGTTAAATCAGCATAAAAAAGAACGTCTTATCGTCCCAAATTTGTAAGCAATTTTTCGCAGTTAAAAAAAAGCTATATGTTATGCATATGTTGCAATAATGAAGGAACCATGCTGAATTACATGTTTGCCCTCTCGACGAAGGTGCATTTCAGCGGATAAGCCACGACACCGCATCGTGGTTAACACAAAAGAAGCGGTGAAAACTTTCTTTCGGAGAGTGAGCCACGTATAATGCGAAGGAGCAACGGTAGTAGTGTTTGCGTGCGCGGAGAAAACTAAGGAACCGAGCATCTCACCGCCCTTAGCTATCACTTCGAGCATGTAATGCACCCGTGCTTACTTACATGCGGTTTCACCCTCCGCGTACCTTCCTCTTCTTTTCTCTCCATGGCAGCTTTTACGGCCCCGTGAACCCTTTCGAACATGTCTGCGATGATCGCGAGCGATGGCGTGCACCGAAATATTTTGACCGCACGATCCTCTGCCCTTTATTCGCTGAGCGAAATATTTCAGCTTCCTTTACGATGGATGAACTAAAACAAATTGACAAGAATTTAGAAAAAAAGTGAGAGAAAATATCGGGAATGTATTCTTTCTTTGTAAGAATTAATTAATTTAATTTTACAATAAGACTATATATAAAAAAAGAGAGAAAAAAGTAAATTTCTTTTCTCATGCAATATGGCATGACATCACGCTCGATAATAAAAAGTTTAAAAATTCGTTAGATTGCCGCAAAAAAATGAAAAAGAAATTTGCCGTTAGCAAGAAAAATCCGTTTATACATTACAAAGGGCGGCAGCTCACGTCGCGGGCAATTTTTGCACGAGAATTGCGCGAATTACGAGAAACTTAAGCTAGCTGGTAGTTGCGCGTGAACAGCACGCAAACTCCCTAAACTGACTAACATACGCTGTACTTTCGTGCCGCCAGCGGGTACTCCGTTTCGCAAACAGCGAAACTAGATGCACCACACAACACCAGCCAGGCCAGCTCTCTCTTTGATATTACTTCGGGCATGTAATGGAACTCGCCGGAGAATCAAAAGGTGCATCCTTTCTACAGGCAAATACCGCTGTTGTACCAGCAGCGACGCAAAAACAAATATTTGATAGAACAAACGATGTATAAACCTGCATCGAGAACAAAGTTAGAACCTGCATCGCCACCAATTACATACGAGATCGCATTATACATATTATGAACTTATTTAGAAATTAAAAACTAAAATTAGAATTTGTAAAGTTTGACAACCTTATAGATGTTACCATAAAAAACAAGATAATCGCTAACGCTTCAGTAACATCTCTCTCTTTCTTTAACTTGTATCTAGTTTAAATAATAAAAGTTATAATTTTACTAATTTTACTTTCATTTGCTGGTTGATCTATAAATTAATTGGTTTGATAGAAGCTTTATATATATATATATATATATATTTATAATATTCTTAATTACACATAATTTATTTCATAATCGAAGAAAAATTACTTTTTATTACATATATTTTCTCTCTCTTTCTATTTAAAATATATGTATACATTTAAAAAATTGATAAAGTACGCGACACATATATCATTTTGCAATAAATCTTGCGTAATAAAAAAGGCCGCAACGCATTCGGATTTTCGATAAAAATGCACTTTTCTGATAGAAACGCAATATCTCACTCACGATTCATTAACTGATTGATATCCAACAATTATAAACATAGTTTCGACAACGCAAAAGCTTTTAACGTATCCGAATTCAACGCGCAAATTACATCGTCAAATGTAGCTTTGGAAAAAATGCGTCAATAAGCGTGAAAAATTGACGGGCAACGGGAAAGGTTAATGGAAAAATAGAGGATGGCATTTCTCCTATTTTTCAGAGTTCTTTGACAACACACTTGCGCTAAAAAATTGCTCGTGTACATAATATTCCATACTAATTAACGTATTCTTTGCGAAATATTTAACAGTTATTAATGAGTTCGCGAAATATTACCGGAATAAAACACGCAATTCAATCACATTTGCTATAGTTCAATCTTAATTAGATGAAGATGATTTCATCATATGATACTCTCTGGAAAAAATAAATTATAGCAACAAAGTGGAAAGATACAAACGCACACGTTTTTCTTTAAAAATAAATCGTGCGTTTTAAACGTGCATATTACTTTTTTTATAAAACATGTTTACACACACGTTTATACTATTATTGTTTTTACTATTATTATTGTTTACATATGGCAAATGATATTTAATTACATCGCGCGTAAAACGAGATAAATGGAACAAGAATAAATGCAATGTTAATGGAAAACACGTCGCGCTTTCATATCGACAGTGTCCTTTAATTATACCTTTCTGTGATGTCTGTAAAATGTGAAAAAGGATTCCAATTATATATTACACCAAAAATAAAACCGCAAGTTCAAACGTTTATTGTATATAAAGAAAGTTTAATAAAACGCTTAATTTATTAATCCTCTAATAAAAAAGTATATGTATTTTCTGTATTTTTCTGATTTTTAATAATCTACTTTCTCTGATGTTCTACGATGAAAGCATCTTTATCCAATTATACGATTGGACTGTTCATCCACCAGTACATATACGACGAGCGAAATTACATGAGAAGTGCAAACGTTACATCTGCGAATTTGACAAATCCTTGCTTGCTCACCAATCATTAAGCTGAGTTGACATAATAAGCACAACCGTGAACTGCTGGTCGAATAACAGAATGATTTCATTCCCGCCGCCGTCTATCGTCTATTCGTTTCCGTATACTTTGCGCGAATTGCATTTCGAATTTGTTGGCGATTATAACAAAACGTCATGTTAATTAGTTAATCTATTGTTTAATGAGGTACTCAGGTCAAATTACATAAAATAATAGCTGCTCACAAACAGCAATAGCACTGTTTAGTAAACATTATCATACAATTAAAGATTAATTATATATAATATTTATTACAGTAAGTAGCAATAATTTATAAAAAAACAAGGTACTTTTGTAACAATACTTCATAATTATATTCGCCTACGTTCAAAAAAATAGTGAGATGAGACAAAGCAATATATTAATAGATATGTGAATAATATACTTTATAAAAAATATATTTGATGAAAAATTTATAAAACAATATGAAATTTTTAAACATTTTCGAGATATTAAAATCGATGATATATAATTAATTTAAGATTAATTTCAGCATAATAGCCAATATTTTTCTATGTTACAAGTGAAATATACTCATATAGATCTCAAATAATCTCAAATATACATTAATCTATGCTGATAATCTAAAGATTAATAATTATTAACCTAAAAAATGAAATAATAATAACATATTAAATAATCAAGCAATCTATTAAATCACTGTAACAGCACTGTACATGTGGCAGTATGAGAAAGACATTGTTAACTATCATTATCTCTTTCTTCTTTTTCCTCGCATTCCATATTTTCATCTGCATTTTTATTTTCACATTTGCACTTTATATGTTTCTCACTTAAATGATAGCTCACGTCAATGCTAGCATCGCCTCCAGCAGGATCTAATTTAACAATAATCATTTGATTTTTAAGAATATATTACACCCCTTGCTTATATATACTATTTTCTTTAACATTACCTTTATCTTGCTGTGTTGATATAATTTGCTTCATCATATTTGAATCTTTCAACCGTTTCGTGAGCGAAGTATCCTTTAATAAAAAAAGATCTAATATGAATATACTAAATCCATTGATATATCGCTTTGTGTACAAAACTCATTATTTTGCTGGACATACGCAAAGGTATAATTATGAATAATTATGTGTATTTGTAATATTATTTTTATTTCAGTTATTATTTATTATTATAAAAAATTACGTATTTAAACTTTTTTTCTAAATATTATAATTAAATTTTATTTAACACACATACTATATTTTTTACAAGGTGACTAATTTTGGTCAATAATAATTCAATAGAAAGTATTATTATGTATTTCTTCAATTAACATTTCAAATATAACAAAATTAGAAATAGTAGAAAAATATATCATATACCTCGTAAATCCGATCAATGCGTTCTTGTTTCTTATTGGAGTTTGTATTACCCTTTATTCCGAATTTGAAGAATGGTCCAATACCAAATTTAATAGATCCGCCAATTAAGAAAAATGGCAATAATACTATGCATATGCAGATAGTTAAGAAAAGGATGATTAAGATAGGAATTTTGTATACAAAATTTAGTTTACCTGTAGAATAATAAATGAATATTATAATATATATATATATAATCGTTGATATTAAAACAATTTACTCACTGGTAGCATTATCTATGAATTCAGATATAACAAGTCCAAAATATGATAATGGTTGAAAAATGACTGTACTGAGAAAGTATGTCAATGCATATGCTGGTGTTACTTGCAATCTAGGATTGGTCATAATTGATTCATAGTATTTTTCACAATCGTTTGTAGCTGTGAATAATCAATTGATATATATTAAACTCTCAAATACAATTTTGTTTGAGGTAGACAACTCACAGGAAAACGATGCAACCATTTTGTCCCAGAGGCCCATTTTATAAGGCTGGCAAGCAATTGGCATTTCTGCAAACTGCGCTTGTGCAGCCATTAATTTAATTTCTGCTTCCTGCAAAACAAAATAATATTTAATTAGAACTGATCATATATCATAACATTACATATATCATAAATATAAAAATGTGATCGTCAATTTTGTTTAAAAAAAAAAGTATATGAATGTTTTAAATATATACTACATAGATTTTAAATACACTCAATATAAAAAAGGAAAGGTATATGATAAAATGATGTATAAATTACCTGTATAAGTCGCCACCAAGTTATGAAAAAACTTATTATAAATATTACATCAATTATTAAAAAGATAATCAAGCCTCGAGACCATCTTTGTCTTCTTAAGACCATAAAACTAGATATGACTATTAAGGAAATTATAGTTATGTCCCACTGCAACCATTTAGGAAGTCAATATATAAATATATAAATATTTTATATATACATCTATATATATTTTAGATATCAAGTATTATTAAATCCTTACGCGTTCTTTCATGATTAACAAATAATTCATCAAATATTCTGATAATAACTTTAAATAATGAGACATCTCTGCCATATAGCGAGATGTGGTATGATCAGATTGTTTTATCACATTGTCAAGAATTCTATCTACTTCTCTTATAGATCCTTGGCCATTTACAAAATTCTGGAGATATTCGAACTGTGAAAAGGATGCCTCTATATTGAGTGTTCCTATTAATTTGTCATCAATCTTCTGTAATTTGTTAATATTTAATACTGTATTCTATTTGTACAAATTTATGTGATTATAATTTCAAAATCCGAAATAAATAATTACAACAGTTTTCAAGTAATATTTTGTATCACAAATTAACCTGTATAGCAAGATTTGATAATAATACAGCAATCAAACGTTTATAAAAGATTGCCGCCTGGGTATTTTGTTCATCCAATTCTTTACAGCTATATGATTGTATCATTGGAGATTGATCATTCTTTTTTGCTGGACTAAAAAAGGTAATCTGCTTAAAATTATATGTAATGCATTTTGTGTTTATGTAAGATAAAATATATACCTAAAGGAATCCTTTTCTGTAGACAAATAAAAAAAAGAATGTATATTTTGCAGTTCGTGTGTAGACCTAAAATAAAAATACATTTTTAAAATCGGAATAATTACAAATATAATAAAAAAATAATATATGTGTATACAATAAATTAATATTGATTATATCAGAGTAAACATAGAAGTATTGTGCATATAGTTTTGAAAAAATTACACTTATGATAAATATATTTTTAACGGAAAAATTCGCACTATATAATGTCAAAAAATATTTACGGCGTGACATCATCGAATGTATCCGTCTCGTCGCAATAAACGTAACAGTAAAGTGCACACAAATACAATACAATATATATTGATGACTTGAAGAGCTGCATGTCGATGCATCAAATGCTTTCACGTGTTCTTCGTAAAAATGCCTTTTTATGATGAAAGATATACAAGACTATCAAAACATTCTAAAAAACACAGCGATGAAAAGCATACGCGCCGGCACGAGAAAATGTTTTTACTCTGGTTCACTATAACCAAATTATCAAAACAAAACACCCTGCTGAAATCTAGTTCTCTCGTTCGAGTTATCGACTAGAAAGCGAAATGTTTGTAAAAAGTAAATATTCAAACTAGAGTATGCGAGCAAAAAAAAGATGAAAAAAGTTCTTTCTTTTTTATTTGTTATCGATAAAGATATATGTACATATTTACCAGATATGTATTAATTGATATATTAAAATAAGATTTATTTATTCCGTGATTAAAGAAAATAAAATACTCTTCTGTTTCATTAATATATATTAGTTTTGTTATATTGTGTATTTTTTTCTCTCTCTCCCTCTCTCTTCGTTATACTAAAATTTTAAAATATTTAATATTTTTCATATTGATATCAAAATAGTTGTTTATATATTAAATCATTACTAATGACATGTTGCACATGTGCAGGTTTTATTAGTATGAAACATTAACATCCACTTACATTTCTAAGGACTATCTTTATTTATTGTTATAAGAAATTTAAATATGATATAAAAAACCATATAAAGCAAACGAATTAAGTATTAATAATGCAATACTGCAATGACAATGGTATTCATAACCACAATTATTTTTCAATTATTTTCATTATTCTTTATATGTATATATATATAATAGCTTTATTGAAAATAAGATTAATTTAATTTAAAACTTATAATCTAGATCGTCTTTTCGTTTAAATCGTCGTTTTAGTATATAATACCGAGTATCATTTAACAATTTTAATTTTATTGTAAGATACTTTACTTTCAACGGGCTGTACTTCACCGAATCTAGCTTTCCTTTTTTCCAATCGTTCAGCCAATTCGGCCTAAAAAAAAGTAATTCAATAATAAAGCCAGTGATAAAGAAGTATATGTAAGCCTTCAAAATGAAGGCATGCATACATTTACAAAGATTATTTGCTTACTTTTTCCATCAAACTAGATACAGAAGTTCCGAATCTTTCCCCACGTTTCTTCAATGTATCATAAGTAGTATTCTACCATGAATTAATTAAAAGTTGATATAAAATAATTCTATATACAAATAAACATTTTGTTCTAATAACAGATTGTAAAAATTAATTTCTTACCACAGGCGTCTTTATGGATGCAGCCGATTTATTATTTTGATTATTGACAGTAAATCGAGCTAACCTAGCTTCTTTTTTTGCAGCCTCGGATAATGGCATTCCAAATTTCTTAGCTCTCATCTCCAATCTCTGTTAAAAAATTACACAACTATATATCTTATCACAAAAGATGTAGTAGAACAAACAATTTTATTACATTGTTCAGGATTTTATTATTTTATGTATGTCCTGCTGATATAATTTTCAATTACCTCTTTTGTGCTGAGTTCTGATAATTTAATAATCTTTTTTTCTGGTGACGCAGAATCAGATTCTTTTATATTTATATTTTCATTTTTTTCCACTTGATCATTTTTAATTTCTTCAAGTACAGGTTTGCGGTTTAGCACTATTTTTTTTGCATTAGTATTATTGCTCTCCACAGATAATTTTCGCTTCTCAGGAAGCACCTGTGAATCTGGTTTACTGGATAATTCTTCTATTTCTTCATCCTGTAAGTATAATTTAAATTTCTTGCATACATATATAAAGCAATAACAAACAATTGTTCGATATATATTTAATATTTAACTCTTAAGTTATATATTATTATCAATATCATATTATATATGTAAATATGCTACAGGACTTACACCAAGTACTTCATCTTCATCTAAAATTTCTTCTGTAGTTTCATCCAAGGATAAGGCAGAATCTGTAAAATTTAAATAATTCTTTCATAAAAAGAAACATGCTTAAAAATTATATCAAAATAAAAAAATAAACAAAAGTGAAAACAGACCTCCCTGGATTGCCAATTGAAGCCTTTCTACTAATTCGTTTTTATTGCCCACAGTTGGAAGTCCTCTTTGTTTTAATTCTGCTCTCAGATCGGTAACCTGATAAGGATACAAAAAATTTATATTTATATAAACAATATTTATATTGCGCTTACAATTAGATGTTAAATATTGTCATACTAACAGAATCTGTTATTCTAATTGATACACATATGCTTTATATTTTCAAGACAAAAAATAATAATCTTCAGCAATATAATATTTTTCATAATTTTATCGATAAATTTAATGCAGTCCAGCAATAATGATTTAATTAAGTAGAATCTCATTGCTCTTGTAAAGAGTTCTAAGCAAAAGTTACTTTTCAGTTGAAAGATCATAGTTTAAAATTCCAAAGCTTTTAGATAGATGTAATAAGCAAATATAAGGAAAAGAAATATTGGAAATTACTGTATCAGTTGATTGATGAAATGGAAGTTTGCAATTGATAGCGGGAATAGGTAGATAGATAAAGATGAAGTAATTCGAATCAGACGACGCTAAGTTGATGGTGTGATTTTCTAAGTTGCAGGAAAATTTTGATGGTTAGGTTATCACCGAAGTTACAAACATCACTGCATATACAAGTCGATTTACGGTACTTGCCTTCATTTTTGACAGTTCAGTCAATCCTTTTTCGTAAGACGAGTCAGCCATAGCGTATTTGTCGTATTTATCTTAAATCACAACCGCTATTGACAACGGATACAACATACAACATATAACATTTTACATTACCACTCTCTCTTAATTTTACAGTGATGCCTGATGAATTCTCATATATTTCACGCATGCGCACTCCGTTTTGGCCAATACAAAATCAGGAGTTGCGCTAATATATTGTGGTTACGTTGGCTGCATTGACACGATATAGGATACAGGTGATATGTATATGTCATCTATGTAATATCAGCATCATCACATGTAAAAGCATAATTTGTCGAGATGGTGGATGAATCGACGAAGAAAACTTTAAGTAACATTCCATTACTGCAAACAAAAGCCAGTCCCAGAGATAAAGATTTATGGGTACAAAGATTGAAGGAGGAGTATCAAGCTCTAATTAAGGTAAAAAGAGTTAGCACAACTCTATCTTTTTTTTCCAAAATTGTAAATATTATTTCCATATGGATAGTTCTGTTCTTGTTGTTTCATACATAAATAAATAGTTAAATATTAAAAATTTGTATTAAAAATTAATTTAATAGTTGCTTAAATAACTACATTAGTCATAAATTAAACTACATTAGGCATAAATAACAACATTAATCAAGTTGTTAAAATAACATTTTTATCATGGAAATATTTTATATAATTAAATTAAATTGTATAAATATAATTATTAACATACAAATTTAACTGTGTATAATCTGATTGTTTTTTATAGTATGTCAAAAATAATAAAGAAGCAGACAATGATTGGTTTCGACTGGAATCAAACAAGGAAGGTACCAAGTGGTTTGGCAAATGCTGGTACATTCAGAATTTCCTAAAGTATGAATTTGAAATAGAATTTGATGTAAGTAATTTTTTACGTGTATGGTTGTTTTGATTTATTCTATTTAAATAAAGAAAAATTATATCCAATACAAAAAATGCTATTTATAAATAACATTTTAATTTATATTACATATATACATTAATTTATATATACACATTTATAAAATTAGTAAAATTATAAAAAATGTCAAAATATTTTAATAGGCATTAAATTTATCTAGTAATATGTTTTTTTTTCCTTTAGATTCCTGTTACGTATCCTACAACGGCACCTGAAATTGCTTTACCAGAATTAGATGGTAAAACAGCAAAAATGTATAGGGGAGGTAAAATTTGCCTCACTGACCATTTCAAACCATTGTGGGCTCGCAATGTACCCAAGTTTGGCATCGCTCATGCAATGGCTCTTGGTGTAAGTTCAATTTATATATTTAACATAATTAAAAATGTAGAACAAAAACATTAAATGTATTGGATATAAAAACTTTTATATTGAAATGATAGTCTTATATGAGATGTAAAAATTTTAAGCAAATTATTTTTCAGTTAGGACCATGGTTGGCAGTCGAGATTCCAGATCTAATAGAAAGAGGTGTTGTAGTTCACAAGGAAAGTGAAAAGAAATCATGAATATTATAGATAAATAGTGACAGAATAACTAAAACGCAATTATTGGTAAATAATAAATTATTTTTTTATGCCTATTATTTGAAAGAGAATTTGTATAATACATTAATTTTTTCACACATGATATATTAGAGTATTTACATAGTTCAATATGCAATTAATAAAGACTATTTAATATATTATTTATCATCATCTAGTTTTATTTTCTTACTGGTTTTAATGATTTCGTCGAGCTTATACAGATCCTTAAGCGACACTTCTCCTGTTCCCCTCTCAAGAGGTTTTGGTTGAGACGCATCTGGTTTCCATCCCAACATATATATTATCTGAAACGTGGCAGGAACAAATATGGTATCATCTTCTCTGACTTTTCCATACAGCTCTTTATATATGGATGCTGCTGCAATCAGCGTATCTCTCGGTAGGTGTAAGTTACGATTCTTGGCTGCATTATTTTCTGCCATCCCTAGATGAATGAAAATTTTTTGTGTAAAAAAAATGCAAAATTTTCTTGTATGTCTATTAAATAATTTTTATCTAAGTAAAAGCTTTCTTTATAATAATTCACCTTTCAAATCCCACATAAGCTCGAACATATTTGGATAACCGATGACTATCTCATCAGTATCAATAGTCAACATAGTAAAATTCGCTCTTGTTAATAAAGATCCAATGTCTCTGATTTCCACAAAGGGTGAAATATGCGGTGAAATCCCACCATGTCTCTCCAATTCAGCTAATTGCAAGGAACTTCTGTATTATCAGAATAAATGATAAAAATAATGAAAGCAAGTAGATATAAAATACCTTCCTATAAAATCCTTGATATAAGCCTGGCAATTTTACCTTTACCTCAACTCGTAAAGAGTATCACCGCCAAATATAGCCGCCAGAAAGACTCCGTCATTTTTCAGACTGCTATTGATACGTCGGAAGCATCCGGGAAGATCGTTGATCCAATGAAGACTCAGACAACTAATCACCATGTCGAAACTATTAGGTTCGAAGGACACATTCTCCTCATCGATGACTTCCTTCTTGACTCTCACTCCCTTCGCGGTATCGGCTTGCTGTAAGAAACTTGGACTCATCTCGGCCAACACCAATTCCTCCACGGACTCGCTGAGGATTCGCTTGGATACATGACCGCGACCGCATCCCAAATTGAGGACCCTGCCAAACTTTCGTTTGATGTCGAATATCCGATCGGACAGCCTGTCACCCACCTCGTCCTTGAGATAGTCGTACAGGTGGACGTCAGCGTTCTTCGCAGCACGTTCGCGTTGCAGCAGCTTCGTCTTCTTATCGAACACGTTCATCGGACTGTCAGGCGGCAATGAGGACATCGACATTACATTACACGCAACATTAGGACCAGAATTATATCTGGGATTTAATACGTTCGATTTGCCGTGTATCATGCGATCGCATAACGTCCGACTGGTTCCACGAAACAGAATTTTCGATACCATTTTTGCAGATGCACAATTGCTAACGTTTTTATTTTATTTTATCTTGAAATTTGTCGTTAGAATACCACTTGTTTCTAATTCTCTTTTCTTCTAATTTTGTTTGTTTCCGCAAGAAAACTTTTAGAGATCGAAACCTTCAATGTATTTCATATCATCGTAATTAAATTATTGGAATTCTTTCGATATCTGTATTAACAATGACGAATTTATGACTCGGTTAATGTCGAGTGTTTACTCCAATGCTCTGCTCAATCTCCGTAGATTAAGGTTAGGAATAACCTAATCTAGAGGAAGATTAATAATTTTAATCTCGTCACCGCGACGAGATAATTACTGAAGATCAAACGCAAATAAAATTTCTTGTAAATAAATTTGCATATCATGCCCACATATACGCAATGTTGACATGAATAATGCTCATTATATTTTATTTTTTATATAAATACTTTTCTATTATTATATATGTGTGATTAATACTATCTATAATAATAATATATTAATTCTTTAATATTAAAATTAGATATAATTTAAATTTTAATAATTTATTTCTTTTTCGTGGTTTCTGAATAAGTTATTTGGATATATTTTATACGTTTAAAAATACTGGCACAAAACGTGTTAGTTCCTTCGAATTGTTTGATTTGAATCAAGACGAAAGAAGCAAAGGACGCGTTCAGCAGAGAAAACCGCTTAATAGTAATCGAACGTGATTGGCTCTTACTTTTAGAACCAACAAATCAACGTCGAGTGTTGACAAGCGATAGCTGAGTGCTTTCTCTGCCGAACGCGGCCAATGATTTCTTTGCTCTGATTGGTCAATCAAACGCTTCCAAACTTTCGGAGCGGCTTCTACGTAACATCGATTTGACTCTCTTATACTTCATGATCAATGATGTATATGTCAAAATGGCGTCTCTATCGTTTCGGTGGCGCTACCTCTCCGCGAAATTCTCTTCACGTTGTCGACGTACTTTACGTCGTGTTTAGCGAAGTATCGCGTTTTACATCTGGCGTAATTTAAAGAATCCTTCGGATTTTTAGCCAGAAAGATGGTCCAGAAGAAGGTATGATCGTTGAACTATCGCGCACGAGCATTATTTTCACCAAATGGCATTATTAACAAAGAATATCGATATTCAAAAAATTTTAGCATGTTCCTTTAGTACATACATGAAAGAATATTGCTGCACATTTTATTGTTGATTTGATTACTATTACTACTTTATTAGCCATTTCGTAAACCTCACGCGCGATGTTTCTTAACATGTGAGAAATATTGAGTAATCGGTTTTTTATATTAATCTTTATAATTTATAACCTAATTGGAAAATGTGAAGAAAATATTCGTAGATTTTAACGCCATGACGAAAGAGAACGAATAGCATTCATTCAGCATAAACGCAGTTCCCATCATTACATTAAATTCTCTATCAAATGAAAAAGATAATCGAATTAGTCGAATTTTTTAAAAAGATGTTTATTGTATAAAAGTGACAATAAAATACATAGCATCTTATTTAGTTACATATTTTATTAAAACTGTGTGCTTGTGATTTCATCGTAAGAATTTTATTGATTATATTTTAATTTCCTTCTTCAAATGTGTAGCCAAAGAAGAAAGTAGGCAAGAAGGTAGCTGCCCCACCGTTGGCAGTTAAAAAGGTTGAGCCAAAGAAGGTGACCAACCCACTTTTTGAAAAACGAACTCGCAATTTTGGTATTGGTAAGTCAAAATAATTTGAATAGTTTATAGTTAATAGCCTAATAATATAGTTTGAAGTTATATAAAATTTCATTAAAATTTAGGGCAGGACATTCAGCCAGCACGTGATCTGAGCCGCTTTGTAAGATGGCCTAAATATATTCGTATTCAGCGTCAAAGGGCTGTGTTGCAAAAAAGGTTGAAAGTACCGCCAACAATCAACCAGTTTACACAGACATTAGACAAGCAAACAGGTAACTTTTATAAATACATATTTTATGAAACATTTTTATAAAGATTTATGTATCATACATATACATATAAAACAATGTGATATAACCATTTCTTTTATATATTTTAGCTACACAGTTGTTCAAGGTATTAGAAAAGTACCGACCTGAATCAGCAGCCATGAAAAAAGCAAGATTGAAGGCAAGAGCTGAGCAAAAGATTGCAAAGAAAGAGGATGCGCCAACAAAGCGACCAAATGTCATTCGTTATGGGACCAATACTGTGACTACATTAGTGGAGCAAAAGAAGGCTCAGCTGGTTGTTATCGCACATGATGTAGATCCTATCGAGGTTAGAATGTATTTATAATATATTTATTTTGTGTGAAAATTCTATTTAACAATGATGAATTGAATTTCTTCACCTGAGGATCAAAAATATATTTTTTTTCGTAGGATGAAAAATGACATCTGAGTTATATTTTTATTACCGTTCTAACAAAAAAGGTAATATGTAATTATAATGCTAATAATAATTCATTTTTTTATTGCAGGTTGTGTTATTCCTTCCTGCCTTGTGTCGTAAAATGGGTGTACCATACTGTATCGTCAAGGGTAAAGCACGCTTGGGACGTCTGGTTAGACGCAAGACCTGCTCAACGGTTGCTCTGACACAGGTATGTGAAGCTATTAATTTTTTATATTTCAGTTATTCTTATAATTTAATGCGATTTTATTTTATGATGAACACAATAAGAGCCAATCCAATGATAAATTGTGATTATCAAAATTATTTTCTGATACATATTTACAAAAATCTGATTTTTCGATTTTTATCTCGATTTTATTAAAATATATTACATTGCTATATATTATTTCAGGTCGATTCTGGCGATAGAGCGAACTTTGCAAAGATTGTTGAAGCTATTAAGACGAATTTCAATGATCGATACGATGAAATTAGACGTCATTGGGGCGGTGGTATATTGGGAAGTAAATCTGCAGCGAGGATAGCAAAATTGGAGAAAGCTAAAGCAAAGGAGCTTGCACAAAAACAAGGTTGAATTCTTTGGCCACATTATTTACGGATTATATCAAAAAATAAAGGGTAAAATTCAACTATACTTGTATTTATTCGATAAGCTATTTCCACATTCACATATTTTTCCATCTTGTATAAAGAGTGGGGAGGTTTCTTTATTATCGTAACTTTTCCTATGTAATATGTACAATTACATAATTATATTTGTTTAAATATGTACAATTACAATGAGAAAATATTACGATATTTAATATCTTTAAATCCGTTTCTTGACTAGCTTTTCTAGTCTCTTAATTCTTCCAGCTTCATATTCTGGGCTGTCATGTATTATATGACTCTTTGTAGCGTGTGCAGTATTCGCGCTTTCAAGTTGTTTAAATTGTTCAAGAAATTGAGTTTGCTCAGTCTTTTTCAATCCCTGGAATATATATCAATTTCATTAGATATTTATCTGATTAAAAATATAATAAACTAACTTTTCTGTGCAAAAATTACCTTCATATCTAAAATTTTTTGGAATTCTATGGATTGCAAATCGGGCAAGTGCATTCTGCATTGTTTGACAAAGTCTGTAGGAGATTCAATCGAAGACATTACAATCTTCAATATCATTTCAGCGTTTGCCATTCCTTTAACCACAACCTAGGTGACACATGCATCAAATGTGTATATTATCTATTATATATATCCATCTTTTATTTATCTTATGAGTTACAATTACCTTAGTATATGTTACTGGAGCTTTTCTTTGTACTTGATAACCAATCGATGGAAGATCCAACAAAGCTGTTTTTAACATGTGGACATCTAATAACAGTTGTTCTGCGCCGACGTCGTTTAATGGCTTACATTTGAATAACTGTTGTACTAATTTTGCTATAAAAGAGCTGAAAAAAAGTGTATAATAGAATCTCAAAAAGAACGATTTCGAAATTCATGTCATGTATGAATATTTTACCTGGCGAACTTTAGACAAAACTGTGTGAAATACTTTCGACAAGAAGATAGTCTATCTCGGATGGTGGGTATTGTTTGTCGGAGGTGCGCTATTATGGTATTAACATAATTACTTTGATCACCTACTACTTCCACAGAACTCCATTGTACCTAAAAAAAAGAAAAAAAATTACTATATATTTACTATATAATTACTATATATTTTTTATTATTAATTTAATAAATTTTAATGAAATATTAATTTTATTACTAGTAAAATGTATCACTGATAAAAAAATTACATTTTTAAATCATCTACCTTAGTCATAGCAGTCAACGCGGATTCACAGGCTGTTTCTAAATCTTGAACTAGCAATTGGATACAGTGAGAAATTACTCTAAAAACAAATGCCGGAAATTAAAAACTCGACAGTATATATGCTTTTTAAATGTGATGTTCTTTTTAAATATATTAAATAAATTATAAATTAGAAAAGAAAAAAAGAAATATACTTATGGAAATTATCTTGTTCTTGAGACAAAACAATTTTCTCGGAATAGCATTTATCTGTTTTCTCACGGAGCTTTCCCTCTAATTGTTGTGTTGTCTCTAAACAATACTCCGCTGTTGTTAAAATACTGAAAAATACATTTCCATAATTTTTTCACTTTGTTCTACAAGAGAAATGAATTAATAACAGATATATTTACCAGCATATACGAGATTGTTCCTCTTTGCTAAATCTGGCAATTTCTCCTTCTTTCAAAAAACTCTGGAAATTTTGTATAAAGCCTGACGTTGATAGATCTCGGAAGTCACGTGTGATATTGCTCATACTGGTTCCGATACCAGCATTACCTCCAACTCTACATAAATGACGATTACGTATATAGATAAACACAAATTTTGTGATTATACTCGTTTGTACAATTTTTTGAGACTTACTTTGGTAAATTATTCTGTAAGATCTTGACTGCATATTCCCGTAGATATTTTTGGAAGGTCTCGGTAAGGCTCAGCATAATCAAGCCAGTGCTAAGTTGCGTACATTGCAACATACACTTCTTGTAAAATACAAACAGATCGGCACACGAGCTCAAGACGCTGCTCGGACCTTCAATACCATCAAATTCTTTGGCACCTGGCGGTTGCGTTTTAGAATCGGAGACGAACTTATCCATCAGATCTGCTAAATTACGATCTAAACTTTCTATATAGATATTCAGGTATGGTTCAAAACACTTTCCTATAAGATTTGCGAATGGAGAAGGTTTCGATTTTTCAGTTTCGATCTAGATTTAGAAAATATTATATACATTTTTAATAATATATACATATGGTTGTATATATAACTTATATATATCAGCTTTTTTGATACCTTCTCATTTTCTTCTTCGAAAGGATTCCCTGGGACTTTTTCAGTTACATCATTATTGACTATTGCATTCTTAGCATCGACAGTCTCCAAAGTACTTCCGATAAAACGTTTTGCCAACAATGATTCGAAGTTACTGGTTCTCTGAATTGCATAAAGCAACAATTTAACATCTATTTCACTACGTCTCTTGTTCATCAATTTAGTGAGATCTTCACGCGTAACATGGCAGAATTGTACGGCTATACGTTCGGAAATCTCCCAATCTTGGGGAAAGATTGTACCAAACTTGGATTCAAAATCGAGTAGATGTTTCTTGATCCATGCATATCTTCGATCTATTTTATCCAACCAAGCAAAATCCTGATTTTCATCAAACAAATGTGCGTACTCTTGCAATTGGATATTTACAAACCAGATAAGCAGATCTTTCCTTTCAGGAAATAGTATATAAAATATTATTAGTAATCCTGATATTGTTATCAATTATAATGCTATATAAACAATATAAATATTTAATATACATACTTTACTTTAGGATCTAATACTGATAATACTAAACATCCCTCTGTTAACTGGTTGAAATGCTTTGGATTCTGGCCTGAAAAAGCTTGTTTGAAATCTGCTGTAATCTGCTGAGCCAATTCAACATGAATCTGATGTACCTTTTTTTAGACAAAGAGAAACATATTGAAAAGAAAAATTCTATTCATTATCAAGAATATAACTTGTATTCTTACTTGATCAGATAATTGCTTCAGTTGTGGTATGTCCATATAGCTGTTAAAATGTTGCATCACTTCCATCACTGCTTGTAATGGTAAGATAATTTCTCCATATTGTTTTTTTTGTGTTAATACTCTAGATTGATAAAAAAAAAATATATACAATAGATTTATAATTCCCACAATAATATTTAAATATATATATTTTTACTATTATGCAATATATATACTTCAAAGTATCTACTCCTTCTACAAGCATGTGCAGATGGTTCAGAGCCGTTATTGAGGCAGTAAGATTTCTCTTAGCAAAATCCAGTTGCTTAATATCTCTTGTGATTTCTTTGACCACTTCCTCTGACTGTTCCGCTTTATCTTTTATGTCTTTTATATCAACAAATAATTGTCTTATTACTTTTTGCGCATCTTCTAACGCTGCTCTACCATCTTGGCCTACATTTGTCTGACCACGTACGACTGACCGTATATCTTTATCAATATTATATATTTTCAGTTCCATATCATTCACTACATCATCAATGTTTGACAAAGATTGTTCCGTAGGGAATAAAGAGTTTATATAGTCCACTACATTGAAATTAGATTGGTCTAATGGATCGGTACTAGGCAAGACCTAACAGTAAGAAAGGTAATATTAGAAATGCTATAAAATTGCATTTTATATATTACTATATACATATAACTACTTATAATAAATTGCATGTATAAATGTCAAAGTAACTAGTGCTCAAAAAAAGACAAATATGAAAATAAATTTTTTTATTGTAAGAATTATTACATTGCATACAAAAGAAATCAATATGATAATAATGAGTAAATTTTGCTGGAATTTCAAGGAGAACTTCGCATTCGTATTAAATCTAATCGCAAAAAAAAGACGAACGTCTGAGAAATATCGACAAAAAAGAAACCATCGCAAGATCTGTCATCGAGGGCAGACAGTTTGACAACTAATTCACGATGGGCCTAACCTGTTCGATCACGTTCTGCACATTCGGTGGGAATGTATAAATCGTAGAGCGCAATTCCTCTAAATCATCCTCCTCGTGATTTTCCATTGTGCTGCGAACGGACACGAATATACTTCACGTAAGCATTTCGTTATACTTGATTCGTGTGTGCGAATTGTGACAAGGTGGCAGATGAAACCATTGTATATATGTCTATGGATGACATTTAATGACGTTTACATGTATGAGGCACGAGTAGTTGTCACGATACGATGGTAAACCGATCGATTACGCTATGCGATATGATCTTCTCAGAAGTCAAGCAAATCAACTTCATTTTTTGTAAATTTCTTAATTTTAATATCAAAATACCTATCTGATATTTTAATGCTAAAACTAAGAAAATTACAAAAAGTGAAAATGATCAATTTGACTTCTGGGAGACTCATATATTTTTCATAAAAGTTATAATGATGATAAAAATTTTTATCTCTTATTTTTTATTCGTGAATTTCACATAAATGATTCTAAAAAAATTCTCTCTTCATTATATTTCATTACATTTTCAACATTTACAATAAAAAGGCTCTGATAATAAATATAACGTAAAGGACAACGAGCTATAATTGAGAATCTCGTGCTAATAAACGTTAATGCAAACAGCTAATGCAAACTATAAATAAAATTTTAAATTAAAAATTGTTCGAAATTGCCAAAATAAAAATGTTGAAAATTTAACGTGAGGCCAACGGGCTAATTTTGGAAGCTTCGCGCTGTAAGTGATGCGCAAATTTCTTGATAATTAAAATTTGCATGTAAAAATATACATTGATTGAAATGTACATTTCAATAAAAAAATTTTAATTATTAAGAAATTTGCGCATCGCTTACCGCGCGAAGCTTTCAAAATTAGCCCGTTGGCCTTACGTTAAATTTTCAACATTTTTATTTTGGCAATCTCGAACAATTTTTAATTTAAAATTTTATTTATAGTTTGCATTAGCTATTTTTATTTCTTAATATTAATATAATTTTATACCCATATACACAATCTTTTATTATTTCTAATAACTACATTACTATTTTAAATAGATTTGACATTCATTGCAGGATTGTAAGAAATAAAAGAACTTATACATTCCACTTTTCGAAGTCAGAGATTCGTTACTATGCATTCAATACTTTTTCATACTTTCCTGTTCTTAGGTAAGAACAGAAATGTAAGATTATAATGAAATTTTTTTTATATAATATGCTTTATATTATATATTTTACGAATAACTGATGTTTTCTTACATTTCTTACATTTATTTTCCAGAAAAAAATTTCAGCTGTCTTGTTTTTTGGAGAATTTCGTACAAGAGTTTTCCTTAATTTTTCCGATTATAATCCAATCATCAAGAATAATTAAAGTGAATAGATAGAAACAGAAAGATCTCGGGAAAAATTCATCGAAGTCGATTTCCATTTTCGGACATTGAAGATTTATAGACCGAGTTCCCATGAATAATGTACTCGTTATTTGCTCATTTTCACGCAATGGTCAATGAATCCTTTATTTAAACGAAATCATATTTTCGTTGAATTTCTTTGATGCGATCGTACGCGCAATCAATTCCGGCATTTCTTAATAAATCGGAAGGCGGAAGGCTGCTTCGTGCGGGCGCCGCGACGTCTCGCGTCGTCGTCTCGCGTCGCTCCCTGCGGTCGTTGGGAGGAGGTCAGGTCGGTCGAACGGGAGCGGGTCGGTCGAACGATCGAAAGGCTCCGCTCCATGGCTCAGTTGTAGCGCCGACACCCGGCATATACGAAGTCGCGTCGTAGTTTTAAAGGCACATTCTGTACAAACGTAGACACGCACGCCTCTTTCTTTCGTACCTCCGCCTCGCCTCGCCTCGCCTTCGCCTCGCCTCGCTACGTAGTGAGCAACAGATATTAACGTGCACGTTGTAGAAGCGAAACCCGACCTGTAGAAAGCAAAATGCGTCCGGCCGCCGGTCACTGGAGAAAAATCCTCCTTGTGTATATTTTACAATTATTTCCATGTAAGTGACACCCGTGCGCTCGCGTGTTCTCCCTCGCGCTTCTTCATCCCTCTGAATATAACACACTCCCTCCTACGCGCGTATCCCGCCTTTCCTGTGTGTATCCTCTTTCCTCGTCCTTTGTGTCTTTGTGTCGAGGACTCGTTACAAGGGATGATCGCACTGCAGCCGAGCGAAATTCCTCGGCGGATGCCATTCATCGGGCGTGAACTCATCGTTTGATCCGAGCCACGTTCGAAAGCAACCCTTTCGTTTGAGATCACGTATTGTCTGTTGATTTGCTGATTAATTTTGTTTACTACTTTTCCTGGATGAAAATTTTATTGACCGCCATCTTTCTTCGTCCTTTCTTACTTTTGCCATTAAACGTCTTGGCAATTTAACATTAAATGTCTTGAGCGTCGAATTAATTTTTTGTTTGAATGATATTTGTTTAATGTTAAATGAGAAGAATAAGATTCTGTTAAAATGATTTGTATCTTCTGGCGTTGCGAGAAACTGTGTATTTTTATCTTTGTCCGTCTATTATTAATGCGTGTCGATATTTTTGAAAAAGGATCGATCAACACGTCTGTAAATAAGAATTTCCTCCGGTGAAGTTTAAAAACATCTTGGCGAATGGATCTTGTCTCATTAATCGTGTAAAAATAACTATATCTTTACTTTAAAGCCGTTCCCACGAGGCGTAAATCACGAACGTGAACCACGTTGTTGTGCTCGCTTTATTTTTTTTTTTCATGCTTATGTTAGTGGAAAGGGTGAACTCTTCACATGGAATTTTTCCATACATCTACTTTACAGAACAGGTTAAAAAAGCCGTGTATATTTAAAGCCTCAGAAATTTATTAAGATGCTACTTGCTCGCATGTTACGATCTCTGTACTCATCCAACATCGGACTATAAAACACAGATTCCGTTTGATATAAATTAAAAAAATCGAAGAGTATCACTATTGTTCATTTCATATATAGGCTGCAAAGACATCCTGTTCACGCGTGTTAGTACTATGACTCAAAATCAAATTGATTTGATCCGGTTAATTTCATATATAGGCTGCAAAGACATCCTGTTCACGCGTGTTAGTACTATGACTCAAAATCAAATCGATTTGATCCGGTTACGACTGAATCATGTTGTCGATGTCACAGGCTATTTTTACGATAGCATGTTTACACAAGTCGTAATTTACCAAAACGTAATTCAAGACTCGTGGAAACGTGGCATAAAACAAGAGAGAGAGAGTTATACTATACAAAATTTTCAAATTTTTGGATCCTGATTTTTTCATCGTAAGAAGTCGACATAAATAATTTTTTTTGCAAAATTAATAACACTACATTCGCTATGTTTTGTTGTCGTTAGTTGTTGCATTGTTTCAGTTGACCGTTGGATGCTGCAACTTATTTCTTTTACAATTTAATACTCTGACAATATTATACACTTTGCACTTTGTGATGTGTGACACATGTCTCAGTTTAATTGTTCAGTGTGTCCTAACATGTTTCCGCGACGAAGAATAATTCTACGCCATGTTCCATGGGACATTTTCCGGAGCGTATATGAAGCAACACCGTTAGCGCACACACAAGTGTCTCATCGCTTGTTTTATATTATATACATCTCGATTAGTCATCGTGAGAGCAACATAAATCTAAAAATTGTATTTGCTCAGATAATAATAAAAAAGTTTGCGCCATTTCTCTTACATATAAATTATACATTGCTTTCAAAATTTGGAATTAAATTCAGATAATAATATTAAATGCGAGAGAATAGTGTCACGCGGATTTATGTTGTTTTTAAAATGACCAATTTCTTTCTTTAATAAATAACAATACATTACAAAAAAAAAAAGAAAAAAATCATTTGAGAAAACGTGATAAGTTATAATAAACTTTTTTTTTACTAGATGTTTAAGAAATTTAGTATATCAATCTTAAAATGTTACTTTTTTGTTTCACAGGGAATTTAACATCAGAATAACAACTCGCTCGCGTGCTTTTTTAATGTAACATTGAATAAAAAATAATATAAACTTCTTTATTTCAGAAACATGAACGCTTCTATTATTCACACCACCCACGTAGAATTACTACAATGCACTACATTCAATACGAATTCTCAATGGTCGTCACACACATGATATATATGTCAATACGAAGTATGAACGAAACTCGAACACATTCAGTCATTTCAGCGTCATAACACAATTTTTCACCAAACTATTTCCGAGCACATATCTATATTTGACTTATTGTTACGTGTTTCATGGCAATTGCTTTCATAATCATAAATGTTTTTGTCACGAAATGCGCGCGATAAAATCAAGACAATTCTCATGATAGACTGACGTGACTCAATCTGACCTAGTTTATGCAAACTGAAGCAATGTACATAGTAAATATAAATGAGTTCATTGTAGACTGAATAACGTAAAACAAAAATCGAATAATCTTTTTTTTTTTTTGAGAGAATGTTTTACTAAAAAGGAAACCGACGAATATATCATTCAAATAAACGTTTTTTTGCTGATCCTAGATAATAAATTGATAATACCTTACGAATGAACATAAGAACGTTTTGTCAAACGTTGGGTTACGATAGAAACTTTGTAACAAGTCAGTTACCACGAAACTAGAACTACATTTGCCTGATATGGGCGGTAATATTGTAGGAAATGCAGCTTCCCGAAAATTCAACGGACAAAAGCTCTTGACAATGGTTTAGCACTATCTTAATCGTTAATCACGAAATTTCAGCTCTCCGAAATTCCGCAATTTAGTTGTTCGCAATAGTTTGTTCGCAATTCTCGAATCACCGATTATTATCCGAATTTCATAATAAGTCGGAAATAGTTTCGCTAATCGCACAAACTGTTAAAATTTAACGATTAAGAAATGTGGAAAACCTTACATTCATTTAATTTTAAAAGTTGCCATAATTTTCTTTAGAATTATCTAGAAAGAAAGAGAAACAGAGAGAACACAAAGTTTTTCCATTTTTATAATACAATCAAAATCATATAATAGTACAATATATGCATGAAAAAACAAGAAATCGTACTCAAGATAAAAATACTCGTATTCCATAAAAAAGTTCATAACTGAATGCAAAGAGTTCAAAATTTAAAGCAATTTTTTGCTGTCTGACAAATTTAATGTATATAAAGTAAAAAATGTATGCAAAGAGATGTATATCTTTGATTTAAAATAATTAGGCGTCAGAAATGCAATGCATTAAATCGAGAATTCAATTTAATTAAAAAGGTCAATAAATCGGTTTAATTGGAACAGTTGAAAATACAATCGCTTTTTCGGTCATTCGAATAGTGCAACTTTAAGAGCTATTGTAGCAAAAGCTAATTATCCGATTATATTTATCGATCCAATTATATTTATGCAAAGTGTTTACCTTAATACCGCGGTATTTATATAAGAGTTTTAACTATTATGAATTAAATATCTTTAAGATTCTCTATGATATTTAGAAATATCATGATAGTTTCTCCTCCAGAATGAAAGCTTTAGTGGAAAGCTTTACTTTTATGTCTTGACGTAATGTGCTCTCAATTGCTTTTATATGAAAATCAGAAGCGAAAGAGTAATATAAGCCATATTCTTTTCATAAAATCTGTAGTAAGAAACAAAAGCGTTTATATGAAAATTTTTAATGTAAAATTTAGTTACTTTGAGTAGAAAAAAGATATCATTTTATGTTTTTAGTATATCAAAGTTAAATTATCTTTATATATCTCTTAAAATTTATTATCATTATTTGTATTCTTTCTTAATGATCTAGTATTGACTTATACTACTATTTTGCGCAACATAACGTCACGTATAGAAAGCCGATCAATCCTAATTACTAGAACTCCTAGAATTTGTAACGACATAATGTCAACCGTTCAGCTTTAAGCGTCCGTTGAAATATGGACACGCGCGTAGAAAATTGCATGCCATTAGTATTATCTGTCGACACGATCAATCTCGATAATCCTTGAAAATAGGCTTCTCATCTCAAAATGTCTCGAAATAATATACGATGCGTGCGACGGTAACGCGCGTTTTCACTCTAATCGATACAGTAATACCTCCCAGCAACAGGGCAGACCGCCACAAGCAGTTACGGTCGGCCGAAGACTCTCCATTTTCTCTTCCCGTCCCGCTAAATTAATCCGTTCTCTGTCCTCTCGTTGTCGCATCAATGCCATTGTCGAATGAAAATCGAACGCAATGCCGATCTCGGCAGCGTTTAATCGGAATGCCAAACAACGCGATCTGATATTTTGTTATTATATTTTATTTTATATATAATATAGCTTTGCAAGCATAAAATTAAAAATGCATTACTTTTTAAATAAAATATCGCAGGAATTCTTCAGATTTTATTTTATTCATAAATTTCATTATCAATTTAAAACTCATCTTTTTTCTATAGAAATTTTAAAGTGTTAATAATTTTATAGCTATAAATGATCCAGATCTAAAGACCTTTATGAATTAAACTTCATGGATACAAGGATATGAAATCTTAGCTTTTATTGATTGAGTTCCAATATAACAAATCTCATTTGTACTTGCGATTTAGTTACACGCATGACAAACATCTTATATGTGATTTAATATAGGTTTGTGGATTACGATATCCTTCAAAGTTAACTTGACGCATACCAGATTCTAACTGAATATCGCATAATCTATAGAATACGTAGAATATATTCAACATATATAACGCGGTTTTATGATTTTATAAAAATCTTAGTTAATCTTGTTATTATACAATAATTTTTCGACGTGTCTTAATATTTTCATTCTAATTTATAAAATAGTAAAATATAGACAAGCTAAATAACAATATAAAATAAAAATATGCAAATAACTAAATCTCTATTGCAGAATTTAATTAAGTATGTAATAATAAGTATGTAAAAATATAGAAATAAATTTGAAAATATATACTTTGCCTCTCTGTATTTTCGATTTTGAATGTTTGATTTTAAACCTTTGGTCTTTTGATAGATATTTGCATTGTCACCAATAAAAATATGAATCAGGAAACTGTCACGTTCCACGATTCTTGTCAGTGCAATCTCGTGATAATATTTTGCTCAAGTAGCTTCTCATGTCAGTTGTCAGAATTATACGATAGTATGCACATACTAACAGAGATTGCATGATTTCCAGACA